TTGATGTGTCCAGTATAGTTGGTAACACTCTTGGTGTTGTTACTTCAAAGTATCCCAACATTAAGGGTATCAATTTCGATCTCCCTTGTGCCTTGGCGCAAGCACCTTCTTATCCCGGGGTGGAACATGTTGCGGGAGATATGTTTGTGGATGTACCAATTGGAGATGCTATGATCTTGAAAGTATGTTAAACAACTTATAGCTCATATTTTGTGGAAAATTATTAATGCTTAGTACTTTGAACTAACATCTGGATTTAAATTTGTTTTACAGCGTATACTTCATGACTGGACTGACGAAGACGGCGTGAAGATTCTTAAAAACTGTTGGAAATCACTTCCAAAAAACGGTAAAGTGGTAGTTATAGAATTAGTCACTCCTGATGACGCAGAGAATGGAGACATCAACGCGAACATTGCCTTCGACATGGACATGTTGATGTTCACACAATGTTCTGGCGGAAAAGAGAGATCACGAGCTGAGTTTGAAGCTTTAGCTGCAGCTTCTGGCTTCAGCAACTGCAAGTTCGTTTGTCCCGCTTACCATTGTTGGATTATTGAATTCTGTAAATAAAACGTTTAAAATATAAACACTATATCCTCATAATAGTTCATTTCATCTTTGTTTCAATTCATTATTTGGAATGATCGTACCTCTTTCTGTCTTTGTAATGGAGTAATACGAAATAAAATAAAATACAAATATTTTCGTATTTTCTCATTGTCTTCTTTAAGAACCAGCTTTAATTAACTAGTCACGTGAAATATTTCGTGAAGAGAGATCACACAAGTCATATTCATTACTCAACGGTTGACTAATTTCATTTGTTTCCTTCTCTCTTTCACTCACGGGAAATAACGGCTACTTCTCTAAATTTAATGTTTCATTCTTTCTGTAATTGCAAAAAAAGCTTGAGAGAAAATCTTGTTCACGTAAATCTTCACATGATTTTTAATATGTTGTGGTCCATTTATATGCAATTTAAATGGACTGAAAATAAATAAATAAATGAAAAGTACACATAGTAGTACAGTACAGCTTGATTAAAGTGAGCTATTTAGACTAAATTTTCTTGTGTGGGACCAAAAATTCTGAAAACAAATTGAGACATTTGAGTGAGTGACTGAGTAGTGGAGACCACAAAGACAAAAGATCAGAAATAAACTACGCGCGGTACATGGATTTATAAAAAAAAAATGCACATCAAAAATAAAAACCCTAAAGATTCTAAACAAGAGCCTACCATATGAGAAACAAAAGAGAGAATAAATGATTACAAAACTAAAAGTTAAGTTTGATTAGCATTAATAACGTAATCATTCCTCCATTAATCCCCTCTCTCTCTATAGAAGAAGATGAAACATAGCTACACAACACAAACCTAGCTTCACTGTTACCTGCAAAACCATCAAACAATTCTATAAATCAAATTGTGTTTGAATTAAAAAAGCATACAAAAATCCTTTTTTTTGTTGTTGTTACAAGTGTGTACCTCATGTGCTGAATTAGTGGAAGTGGGTAAAGGGTTAATGGAAGTAGAGTCAACTTCTCCGGTAGGAAGAGGAACCGCCGGATTACTGTTTATAAACGGAACTCCGTCTTTTCCGGGGACAGTCACAGACGTGATCTCTGCCGGGGATGGTCCCGGAGAGAAAGCTGAACCTTCTCTAGGACCTAATGGCCATGGATAAGAAGGAGAAGATGAGACCACTCCTCCTTCCGAGACCGGAACAGGGGCGGCTGGCGTCGATGTAGGTGGTTGCGACGGCGGCGATGCGGCGGGGAAGATGACTTGGACTGTCAGCTTCTGGTTGAGTTGACAAGTTTTGGGAAGAGATGTGTTGTTGGTAAAGGAGAAGTAATAGAAGCCTGTTCTTGATGGGTACCACTTTACGTTTTAATTAAGAAAACAAAAAAATATAATCAGAAAAATGTAGAATCATTAGAGTGAAACCTAAAAGAAAAAATTAAGATTTGGAATATCTAATTTTAATTTAATGTAAAAAGAAGATTTTAATTAGTTAGACTCAAGATGCTTCTTATTGACTGTGATTAGTAGTATCATTGAGCCCCGAACATATGACTTTTTGTGTATTAGTTTAAGCAATTTTCATTTAATTCTTTCGTCAGAACAAAGCATCGAATTTCAAGTTTTATTTTAATATCCACTAAAACTATTAATTAATGACAAAAATAAAGTTTAGAAATAAAAACAGAGGAAGAGGGACATTTTTTGTCAATCTCAAGAACAGAGAGGAAAAAAGCTGGGGAAAATGTTGTAAAGATCGACACTTTCTGAAATATCTGAGAAAACCCAGATGAAAATTCTCATCCTTTTCCATCAATTCCCCAAGAGAAATTTCACCATTTTTTTAATAACGAATTTAAGAAATAAATACCGTGAAAGAAGTGGAATTAGGTTTTGTCAGAAGAGTGGCTCGAGTAAAATCGCAGACATTGAATGCATCTTTGGTCCTGAAGATGTAAAGATCGTATCCGTACTTGTGTCTGAAAACTGCAACAAACAGAAGAACACCATTAATCAATTGAGAGAATTTTTCAGAAAATGTTTTTAGAAAAGACACTTACTAACGGAGTCGCCGACATGAACAAGGGGAGTTTTCCAGACAGAGACACCGTCGACGAGAAACGTGGAGGAGAGACAAGGACGAG